GTGGCATGGTCGCGGTTTACTTCATGGGAAGCTCGGCGTCAGGGACATTGGACATTACACAATGGGATTTCAACAGTTTCTCAACTTACGAGAATATCCTCAACGGTGTATTCCTGGGCAAAGATACATCCAATTTGCTGAAATTCACGCGTGAAACCAATAACTTGAAGCTTTCCAATAGACCGAGCTTCAAGAAGAAAAGTCACTGGTTCAACGGTCTCAAGACTCAGCTTGGGAGCGTTGCAAATTTTTTCACCGCAACAATGTATCAGAAAATCATGCAGAAATTTCAATCCTCGTCATACTTCAAGACACTGAAGGATGGTTATTTGAAAAAAATCGTTGAAATCACCATGAAACGTAAGAACCCTCCTGAGGTCTGGAGACGGCGCGTTACTGATCAAGTCAATAAGGTTGAAGGACTAGACTGCGTGTTTGATTTTCTCACCCTTTCACTTTGTCTGTTTTAACACTTTGCACTCTTGTTTTAAGGGTCACTATGTCTACTGCGAAGAGGCTCGACGTCTGCTAGTAGCTCTGGCAGAAAGCGAGGTGCTGGTGCTTCAACCGCCGCCGGAAAGTGCCTCGTGATCAAAGAAGAACCTGAGGCAGAGAACTACTTCCGGGATGACGTTTACAACTTTTTGGACGATCATCCAGTTAGCACCCTCGCAATGGATTCCATTGCGATGCAGACAGGATTATCAATGAAGAACGGAGAAATTTACCAGTTCCGTTTGGCAAGAACACTCGATGAAACTGGGTACATTTTGTACGCACAACCAAGAAATGACATGGCTGACACAGGAATCAGAGGTTATTGGTTGACGACAGCAGACAGCATAACCATTCCGGCGTACTCCGGAAGCAGACTCGTATTCACTGCAGAACTCCAAGGATGCTCTATCTTCGTCAGATTCAATTCAGAAACGGAAACGATGACAATTTTTCATCATTTCAGGAAAGATTTCGGACCCATCCAAAAAACTCATGACAATAAATACGCGGTGGAAGTTAAAGGGAAGCGTGAGACATTTGACGACGTTCTAGAGTGGGACAAATACGGAATGGACGATGAGCAATATAAGAAAGGCATGGAAAAAGACGTTGCTTTAAAAGATCGTATGATATTCACGACACCGTTCTTATTCAGAGAAAACGGAGAATGGTACTTCGTTTACCAGAGGATCCAATACACCAGGAACGATCAAGGAAATACTGTTGGCTCATCGTCGAACAACAAGGTTTCTACTCTCAACAAAGTCGATCTGTACAAAGAAAAAATAACAGCCATTCCACCGGCTCATTATCATGATCCGTCTGGTAGACCAGTAGACGTGCGTTTAGAGAGAATCATCGATTGGAATAGAGGACTTCTTCACTTTTCTTAAGGATTTGGAAGGTTCTCCTTAGGTAAACTACCCCCATGTCAAGGCAGGTCCTAACTTCTTCAGTACTTGCGAAACTTAGGGTCTTCTAGTTTTGGTGCAGATTCAGGATCTCAGGAAACTCCGAAAGAACGAGGTTCTCCAAGGGATGATGAGGCTGACGCCAGCGAGGGACGGGTCTTTGAAGAAATGGTTGATGATTTCAAATCCCTGATGGACATCAATTGTAAAAAGATCTAAAAGTCGGGTAAAGAAATCGACTGACTCCAGAATTTATAAGTAGAATATACTTCTTATCAGCAAGTATTCCTGTGGCGATATATTTTATATTTTTTATTATAGAAATAAATGGTGAGACAATTAGTTGCATTGTTCCTATGCAAAGTTGAACATTATTATTATAAGGGCCCTTTCACATACACGAGACGCGTCAGCTGCATTGCGTATTTCGTGTTTAGTATTTTCGCGAGTTCATATCGAAAGTTTGAATTAAAAGCGAATGAATAGATCTAAAATATACTCATTCAGCTGTCTCAAATCGGATTTTATACTTGAATTGATTTAGAAAGCCTCAAGTTGATACGGTTTTGTTTCTTCAATCGTTGCTGCCGATTTATTTCTTGTTCTGTGCTGTCTGTATAGTTTGTTGTTTCTGCGGCTGCTTAAACATTCCGTCAATGCGTTCTCATTGCCAAACGACAAATTTAATCAGAATGATTCGAGATTATATTCATCAGCTAATAAACAAAGAACCAAGCCAGAAAAAACCTGGACGTAACGAATGCTTCATCTTAGTTTTCCGTCACATTCAATAAAAGCTGGCTTGCTCTGAAGCTGAAACACATTTTTTCGAAATGTTTCCTTTAATATGCAACTGAGTTTCATTTTGTAAATTTTTGTGTTCTTCACCGCGCCCCAAGTTACCTTTGAGAAATATGACATGATATAAAATTCTTTGTAGCCGCAAAGAATGGTCAAGAAGAAGGATAACATTATTTGCTTTATTCATTCATTAGGAACCATAAACCAAGAAACATTTCTTTCCGGACAAAAGCAAAACGGTTCTATTTTTCGTAAAGTTGATCTGACGCAGGTGGCCGTTGGAGCGAACAAATCCAACCGAGATACAGCGATCACCTGTTACAAGGAACAAGAAAAATGACACTTAAGTTTCAGAAGTACCATTTTGTAGTCAAGCATCAGCAGAAGCAACTTACTTCATAATATTCACCGTCCGAACCAGAAGTTTCGTTTTTCCCTTGCGAGTAAATGACTGTTGCTCGAAAATGACTTGGGCCCGGTGACACCGTCAACGATAAATCCAACTTCATTCTCACTTCTATAAGGAAATTTTTTTTCAATAGTATTGGAATTGGTTTCGAGTGCATTTATAAAACTGTTTGAACTTCTTTCAATTGTCAATTTCAACATTAGGCATTGGGTGATGTTATTTTTTTGAAAATCATGACGCTCCTCTATCTTCCAAAGTGTCACACTCATTGTCTCTGTTTTTGATTCAACAAAAGAAGCAGTAGAAAGTATAGAAATCATTGTCCGCGGGAAGTTGGCAAAATGCTCACAACTTTTCGGATTTTTATATCATTCAAAGAATGAGTTCTGCCTGACAGAATTTCCGTATGCAAGAACAGCATGCATTGAAGTTAGTAGATTTGATCAAGCTTGCTGAGAATGAACTGCTAAGAATACTTTCTGGCGTGAGATTTCAGAAAGCCAATATACGAGGGGTTACACGTTTCCGCCCAGACTTAAAATGATCTCAACACCAGCAGGGGTTTTTTGGATCATTTTTCTCATGTTCACTAGTTTTAAGAGGATAAGCGGACACCATCTCAATGTAATGGTCACCAATTTGTACACACTTATCTGCCCTTTTGATCTTTTGTTGGGGAACCAGAACTTGGGACCAGGGACACCAGGTCCTGGGACCTATAGATTCCGGTCCCATTTTCCTTTGTGCATCTACCCAGATGCACAACTTCTTTGATGCACATTTCTCCTGCCAATCACAGGTGTGGAAAAAGTTGCATGCTTTGGTCAGCTGACCTGACCAAAGCATATACAGCTGAAAAATGTATAGAAACCCAGCACTCATCCACTCCCAATTAATCAGTCCTTTAAATTAGGTCTTAAAGTAAACTTCTCTCAAACAATCCAACCCCAATGCTTTTGATTCTATTATTGCATTGCATTACTGCAGCCTGAATTTGTGTGCACAAAGTTATTGTATTTATTGTGTTATTGCATTGTTGTATTTATTGTGATGCATGATTTTGTTTTGTGTTTCATTGTGGTTAACGTGGACTGTGATTAAACCAAAAAAAAAAAAAACTGGGGATATGTATTTTAGGTACCTCTGGAATTACATATTGCTGGCTGCAAATTAAAAGATTGCCTTGCCTTATTATTTATTTACCATTTCTTCCACTGCGCTGTGGTTCAATTAATTATGTTGGGCCAATGAATTCCTTGACATCCATTTGTTGAAAGAGGCCTTAAACTGTTCAGTTTTTAAATTTTTAAGCCCTCTCCCCCCCTCTCCCCAGAACATCAGTAACATTCAAGCTGATCCGCGCGGAACCGTGTAGCCCTCGTATGCCTAATCTTTCAGAAAAGTTTTCAAATTTTCAAAGACTTTTGTCATTTTCCGCTTTCTTTCAAGTTATATCACTTGCATTAAAAACATTGTCCATTACAGTGATGATGGCACGTTTACGGGTAGAACTGTACAGCTACTGTAATTCTGCCACGAATCGACAAACCTGTTGATGTGATAAACTTGGAGTCCACGATGACAGCATCAACAGAAACCAAATGCCACGTCAAACATAAATCTTTCGACAGAATGTGTTCACCAGGGTACCGCCCGCCAATCACGTTTTGCAAAAATAGCACGTCCGACTCCTCGACTATTCGACCAGGAAGATTTAATCCACTGCTCAATGCAGAATGAAGCAAATTGTGCAAATATGTCAAAACTGCCCCTGCGGCATTGTGAACCACGTGGTTTGAAATTATGCATCGCTCAGACTGAAAAGGAAAATCGTGATGACAATTGCAAACATGATCAGACAGCCGCAGAGTTTCGCAGGTTCTCGTCTTGCTCAGTGGCTCAAGGAGACTTTGGCCATCTTCCGTCAGCTGATGCGCAGTACTGCAAAAATCCATTAAAGATTTAGATTCATTTCAAGGCAAATGCACCTGCTGGTAATGATTAAAAATTATTTATTGGAAGAGCATATTAACTCATTGGAAACGAGATGCCTGATGGTTGCATACACATCAGCCATCGAGGTCAACAAGACGCTGTTGTTGACCAACGTTTCAAACTCAGCTGGGATCCTTTCGATTACCCATTCAGGAAATTGTATGAAGAACATCGGTCTTTGAATATTCAAAGTGACTTCCTTGAACAAGTTTTGCGGAGCATTGTTGTCTCTTTCCCCGTGATCAGAAAAAATCATCAGGACTGTGTCATTTGAGAATGAGGAAGTTTTGAACCATCTGAGAAAATCCACCACGTCTGAATCGATCCCTGGCAGTTTGTTTCCGATGCCGGCGTGGGAAAATTGAGCTTGAATCGCCAAGAAAAATTTCGGCTCATTTGAATACGTTTTCCACAGGGCTTTCGTATATTCCTGTAGCATCTGAAATATTCACTTTCAAGGAATTTCGAAATATATTTCATAATACGGAGTGGACCGAAAATGTCTGGTACTCGGTTTCATGGAATGATGTCCAAAACAATTCAGAAGCGGAAAACTGGAAATAAAATTTGATGGGAAAATTTTAATCAATTTCAATACGAATGGAAATTTCAAATAATTGGGGCCAGATATGTTTCTGCGTCAAAATCCTCGGATTCAATATATGAAAGCTTCGAAAGAGCTGACATCTGAACACCTAGGAAAAATATTGAGGTACAGTAGTTTCAAGTACAGTATATTGAGATAATTTTGGAAATTTCATTTAACTTGACTGGAGTCAAACTCGAACTTGACTTCTTTTCTTTTAAACTGAACTGATATCTGTTCAAGGAGAGTATATTTATTAATTCTAGGCAGTTTTTGGGAATGTTTATTGGTTACTTTGTGCATTCAAAATTTGTGGGAAATTGTTGAGAAAATAAATTGCTCCCTATACTTGAGAAATTTCAGCGATATTATTTAAAAAGCCTACATTAATTTTAAAGTGATTCGTAAAATAAGGGACCGACAGAAACTAACAATCAATACGATCCAACATTCATTACAGTTAAAGTTTTCAGTTTTCATAGTTTTTGAACTTCCGCAGTATGAAAACCAGTCCAATTTTTTTTTGTCCACCAAATTTGCTGGTATATTTTTTCGAGGATTATCATCACCTTATTCCAGTTGTGTTTGAAGCAGCACGGATTTTGAAATCCAAGATACTTCGCAGCTTCCAGAAAATTCACTCGAGCATTAAAATCACAGAGTTGATTCCGGTAAATCAGTGACCACGCCGCACAATAAGCTAGTCTCTGGTTTAGGAGCATTATCCGACAGTACATAGGTGAAAAAACGTTTGAACGGCTCTCGTTTAGGACGGTCGCGAAGAAAAGCGCATTGTACAGAACTTTTAAAAGGCAAAGCTGCAAAAGTGGAACTTAAAATATTTAAGCTGTAGATCATCAATCGAAGACTCACTAGATTATTCGGAATGTAAAATAGGAAGCAATCAAAGTATTCCTTGATTATGCTCGTTGGATATTCATAGCATTTTTTTCAAAGCTTACATTTTTTATCATGCTAATGCGGCAGTGGTTTTTTTTAAATCAGCGGAAATAGATCGTTTTTTGATTATTCAACGTAGAAAGCAAACGGTCACTATTGTTCACAACTTTTTTTTCTACAGGGAGGGAGTCCTGAAGAAAATTCTCCTATAGATCTCTTTTTTTGGCTATAACAGCAAGTGACATTGAACTCCTCGTAAATGTAACGGGATCTTTCTTTGATTATCATTAGAGTGATTTGTTTCCTGCATAAAAATCAAAGTGAGGCCCCCAGATATGGACATAATTGGTGCATCAACAGAATGTCCCTAAGTTGAATTGTCCCTAAGTTGAGTTTTGTTTTCCCATAGACTCAAATTATATAATTTTTAATTTGTGTTTTATGAAAGAAATATTCCCCAGAATTCCATGAAAAAAATGGTTTCTTTTCAACCCAATAAGAAAATTTGGAGCATTGAATAGTATACTGCTGTACAGTTCATTGAAATGATGGCATCTGCAAAAATAACATCCAAGTCACAAAGAGAGAAAGAAGTCCATCTGTGCTGTTGGGGACTCGCTGCGCATCCCTCGAAATATAAAATTAAAATTAATATAAATCGAGCGGAAAAAACCGCTCAAGAAGAAAGTAGAGCATCCGCCAACGAACTTTCACTCTAACGATTCACCCCCTCCGAAAAATCAAAATCTTGGCGCCAAGACGTCTTCGACTCGACTTTCTCGAGCCAATCAGACGCCTTGGCGCCAACCCTTGCCCTTGATCCACATCCTGGATCAAGGAGACATCCTGAAAACCAATAAAAGATCAAATTAACCCTATCACATCATCAGTCTGTTGTTTGCTGCGTTGCAGTGCGTTTCGGAGGTTTT